ACAAAAACAAACTCAAAACATTGTTAAAACATACATACAACAAGGTTGACAACCCTTTACTTGCAATGTGCAGAAGTCAAGTGGTAGGAAATAATTTCTAAAACAAAACTTCAATTAAAGGGTTTCCTAGCTGCAATTAATAATCGCCATGCTTATGTTACTTGGTTACATTTAACAACACATACGTGACCAACTTACACATGGTTAATAACTTGCATTTAAGCTTAACTGTAATCCAGTTTCTGTTATTTAAGAACATAGTGATAAAATGTATGTTATTAACCATTTTAATATATACATTGATAGCCCCTAAACAAAACCATACCTATAAAACTAGGTGGATGTAATGAATTGAAACCTGGTTTTGAGAAGGCAGTATACCACAGGCATGCAGGTGGTGTCAACAATGCCCTCATGTTAGGCCCTCTGTGGAGTTTTGAATCTGCAGGTGTGCAGATTCATTCAAAGTTAAGAAATAAAATAAATGAAAAACAACAGTAATTTCTGACATGGTACTCTAATTGCATTCCCATAAAAAACCTGGCTCAACTTACCACTCTGAAAACATCTGATGACTGGACAATCATAATTATGTTAGTAAATATTTTAATAAAATTTAGTAACTTCACAAAATATTTCTGTGATCCAGAGAGAGAGACAGCAAAGTCTTATTTTTGAGGACACAATCATCCAAAAACTTTTGCATTTTTTTTTTAAAAAACAATATATGCCCTGCAATAAATCTTGCCACTTCAATATTTTTTTCATACGATGTGATAAAATCGTGTGATAAAAGTCAGGCCAAGGTATACTGTCAAATGACACACATTTTTTCCTTCACATGAGCCACATCCATATTCCTTAATGCGTTCCACGGTGCTAAATAAAATTAAGCACCTGAATGGTAATGATTAGAATGTCAAGGTTAACTGATTTTTCTTGATTTGAATAAAGAATAAACCAGAAATAGCACCCTATTTGTGGTGATAAACTCAAGGAACCACCTGACATGCCCATAGAACCAAACTAAATCACTGCAAATCAAGAGCTGACAAAACTAACCGAACCTGTGAAAACACAAACCTAGCTCACCAGCTATGATGAACTTACTGAAGGCAACCGATTAAACTGATCTCTTCTCTTTAGACAACAGGTGGCATGTTTCTTTGCTTTTTGGTATACACCATTCCAGGTTTAAATGACATTTTGGATAATATTAAATGGTAATGCAGCAGTGTTAAAACAACCATACCCAAAGGAATGAATTACATGTAACACCAGTGTGCAGCACTACTGACAGATTTTAAACAGAATACTTTGCTTACTTAACAGCAGATCTAAAGCTTTTGTACATTAATTATAGTTTTTATAGGTTTTCGTCGCAAATACCAAATACGACATACTACAGTTTTACAAGCCCTGAGTATGTGACAGATTGCAGTGGATCGTACAAGAATAAACCCAACCATTCTCTCCACACATCCTACAGCGTTTACCAGAGTACAAATACATTTTTATAAAAATAATCTTGCCATGACAGCACAGCTGCATATGATCACAAAGAAGTTTGTTTTAATTTTTGTTTGTCCTCATCTTAGTCTAGAAAATGTCCGGATACATAAATCCTAAAAATGAAAAGTGTGGATGATTTTGCTTTAAAGAAACAAAACGGACATTACTCTCCTGGATGAGAAGAAATAACAGGGACCAAATTTAAGTTTTTTTTTGTATCTGTCATATAACGTATATTTTGCCAAGAAAAACATGTACCTCTGATAGGTTTTTAGAAGAAGAAACATCTAATATAAAAGAAAAATATGTTCTTACCAATATTTTAATGTTGTCCTTTAGGAAGGGAAAAGTAACCCAACCCAATAGCTGGACAGTAAGTCATTTAGTACTTGATTACACTACGACAATAAAGAATTAGAAAAAAAGAGCAAAGGGTTTTCACTTTTCACTTGTTTCTGATGAAAAATATGCTTCCTGTTATTTCTCTACAAAAATACTGTTACATCCGAAGAGCCATGTGTCAGAATGTCGGATTCAAATCCTGCAGTCCTCTGCTGATGCTGGGAGTTAGTACTTCCTGAGCACTGGGGCGAAATAATTACACATCGAAGAGAAAGGCTGCCTGTGGCGAGGGGGTGCGGCCTATCTCTGGACGTGCCTGACGAAGGCCTGTACGAGCTGGATGAGGGGCTCCTGGACTTCCAGGCCGGGTTTGGCCCCTGGAGTGGTAGGCTTGCTCTGAGGGGAAGGGAGTAGCCCCCCCGCTGGCGAAGAGGGAGACCCTCGTCGAAAGTAACGGGAGAGACTGGAAAGCAAGGTGCTCTGTGAAGGGTGACAGAACAAAATTTGCTGAGTCTCGACAGATGCGAGCCACAAATTAGCAACCCACCTCTAATCGAAAACCAGCCATGTATTTCCCAACAAGTAAAAGCACTGGGTAAGAAGTAAAGTAATAAAACTATAATTATCCTGCGATTACCTGATGTTGCTGCTGTTACTGCTCAGGCTTTTAACAATTTCTTGTGGGACTCACACTCTAATTGAAAACTCCAAGTGCTTTAAGTAATTTAACAATCTGCAGCTTGACACTGTAAACGTTCTGACTGGATTTCTAAATAAATGAGCCATCTGGTGGCTGAACATTCCAAAATGATGAAGGAAAATTAGCTAATTTAATGGCAATTTATCGATATACATCCTAAATAATTTAGGAATGATTTCTTTAAGCTCAAATTCAGTTAACCCTCTGTTTAACAGACTTCACTTTAAGCACTTAACAGATTTAATGGACAAAATCTGCTAAAAGGGAATTGGGTCTGTAAATAATACAGTAACAGGAAATGGCATAAATAATAAAACAAGGTCAAATATATTCCATAGGTTTAAAATTCAGCAAAATCAATGGTATCTTATAGGGGTAGATCAACTGCTTACAACTGGAGTTCCGTTTTGTATGCTTTAGCAAATTTTACACCACATATTTATGACACAAGAAATAAAGTTACATCTTTGTGATAAAAAGGGCACAAGAACAATTTTCAGTGAGTGTGCTGATTGAAATCAATTAAAAAATAAATCATCATATCTAGAGAGCATATATATTGTATATTATATATATATATTTCTCATATAACTGTTTTCGGGCTTAAAAATGTCAATCGTGGTTTAAGAGACATTTGGCAATAACAAACACCCCTTCTCCCCTATTAGTTTGTTAAGCTAAAGGTTTACTGTAGGTGTTTCTCTGTTGTTATCTGAATAACAAGTCACTGTGCTATACCCCGTCTATGTTAATGTTTGGCAATTTCATGCCAAAAATAGAAAAGACTACATACCAGCTCTGAGCTCAGTTCCTGTTTCATTCTCTGTTTGTCTCGAAGGTGGACCGCAGGATCTTTAAGGTAGCGCACAGCTTGCGAGATTAACACATAAAAACAATTCTCCATAGTGAATATCAGCAGGGATCTGGGGAAGCAAAAAAGCAGAAATATGATTCTTAATGTGAATAACTGCTGGAGTTACCAGTTTATGAATCCAACATATTGTTCTCTGAATTTACCTGAGAGCTTGTGTTTCCTCAGAAGATGCTAATGATCCAACGCTCAAGGATGCTGGCTCTTTCCTCTTCTCTACCTATGAGAAAGCACAGAAAAATAAAAGAAATATATTATGTCAGTGTTTCTAAACTGTTAGACTACAAAGCCTTTTACTAATCATATTAGTTACGACCTTCAAAATAATTTACTTTCCATAGACACTTATTTAAAAAGCAGCAAGCTTTAAACTGATAACTCAATGGCAAATAGCTAATTCAGGGAACTACACTTACCTCTCCCAGCATGCTCAAAGCCACATTAATGGTGGCCAGCAGAGTTCCAAAAGAGGGCGCTACATCTGAGTCAAATGCAGGTGTGGTGAAGCTCAGGACAAACAGAATATTATATTCAGCCAGGTCCAAAGACTGCATAAAAAAAGATTATATCCATAAATTTTATGTTATCTTTAAATCAGTATCAGTGCTGCATCCATGTTGATTGACAACTTAGCTGCATAACGTTTTGCATTAGTTCAAGTATGCAGAAACTAGTCACTGTTATAAAGTAACAAGTAATAGGTTTATTCCATGCTTAAAAAAACGTTTTGGCCATGGAGCCTTCTTTAGGTGTGAGAAAGACAAGGGAGTAAGCAAAGGTAATGTAGCAGGAGAACAGATGGCTCCACGTCCGAAATGTTGTGTTTACTTTCTTCTTTTTTTCAGCATGGAATAAACCTATTACTTGTTCCTTTGCAGCCTACGCATGCTGACGCAGCTACCCACCTGAACTGTTATAACGTTCTGTATAATACTAGTCTTAATTGTTATTTTAATTAAAAAAGAGCAGCAGAGTATAAAGTCTGCAATTTGAAATAAAAAAGGAAAAATATAATGGGATATAAAATAAATACATACCAAAACAAACAAATATCACATTCTAGACAAGCCTGGGCATTTACACATAAAATTCTACACAGTAATTTATGTTTATTTTACACACTGAGCTCAAAGAAACTTAATCCCAGACTTTCTAAAACTGAGAAAACCATGTGTATCATCGTTTTTTAATTTAGCGCAGGGAAAGCAATTTCCAATAGTCACACCTTCCAAGCATAAATGTGTAGCCGATAGTACAAACAGCTGCAAAAAAGACAATGACGTTTGCAGAACAGCAGTGCAATCCTTCCAATACAGCCACAATTTAATTATCTGTAATTCATGTTGTGCACCGATGTGCCAATGGCTCAGCACACAGAGCCTGCAGCAGCAGGGTTACCTGATCCAGCAGTATCTGGCAGAAGTCTGGAGTGAAGTAGCGCAGAGCAGCCAGGGTCTTGCTGAGGATCCTAAGGAGGGTGTACTGCACCGCCAGCAGCGCTTTCTGCTCGGCCTCCTCCCTCTCGGAGCTCAGCTGCTTCGAGGGGGTCTGGGGGGCGCGCTGGGGCCTGGGGAGATGGCCGGGTGGCATTGCGTCCCCATTTTTCGCCTTGTATAGAAAACACAAAAGAAACGAAGAAAAGAGGTCTATTTCCTCTGACCAAAAACAGAGCAGGCACTAAAAGCACATTAAGATGACTTGATCTGAGAGCAACGTGCATGGCAATGTGAAGAGCAAGTATCTAATTTCAGAAAATATTTCTAGATCAGTGTCGACAACCATACTGTATAATAAACATAGCTACATGTGTTATCGGGCTATACAATGAATTATGCATTTTCCAATGCTCTTCACTAATGCTTTCAAAACAACCAGTGTACTTATGTCCACTTTCAGAAGTGCAATGACAGGTGACTTAGAGAATAAAATAGGGAAGAAAACAGACTTTTCAATGTTACCTGGAGGTAGTGATGGAGCATCTTCTTGCTGTGAAGAAGGTAAGTACATGTCTGGCACAAATAACAGAGATTCACCTATGAAACAAGATGTAAAGGGCACACTTAAACACACATATTATTAACATCAGGGAATATTTAGGAATATTACTTTAATAACAGATATCTCTCCACAGATCAACTGAAAATCAAATAAATCAAATGCCCACGGACGGTACTGTTACAGATCTTCAAAGGACAATTTTAGCTTAGAAGCATGAATTTACCTCTTTTATTTTTATTTGACAAGTTGGCAACCTACTAAATACTAAAACAATTTCCTGAAAAGAGAGGGTCCCTCCCGTTTTTATGCTGCACAAATTGCCTGTACAGTGATGGTTAAGCGGGTGAGCTCTAGAGAGGCCAGGTTACCTGGACGTCCCGCAGCAGCTGGGGGAGGTGGAACTGCCATTCCTTGCAGAAGTTGGAGAGCTGCAGCAGGAATCCCACTGTATGGTCCGCTTCATCAAGGCATGCTAAACTCTGCACTGTCCGCACAGCATTCAGGCACTGCGCAAAGTAGCACAGTCACAGAAACAACAGTAAATTCACAGGAGTACACTCAAGAGTATTCACTCAGCAATTCTCATTCGTTCTTAAATAAGAACTATATTGGAACATTGTTACAACTTTTAGTACTGTTGGAATTCTTTGTCCTGCTTTTCTTCTGTGTTGATGCACCCATTTGACTTCCTTTTATGTTTTTAACCACAACAGGCCCAGCAGTGCTGTGAGTTTACCTGCAGGATTCGCTCCTGATGGACGCCAACAAAATCCAGGGCCTCGTTAAGGAAGTTATAGCGCAGCGTCTTCAGCAGGCTCTCCATCAGAGACATGGAGAGCCGGTACACCCCTGGCCAGGAGGGGACATCCTGAGACTTCCGGGAGAAACCAGAGCCCTGGAGTGTCAGGAAGTATGGATTCAGTAAAGAGACAAAGCTTAAAACATCGAAACAGGATTGCAAAATAAAAGACTTCAGCATGTGAAGAATTCCGAAACTGAAGTCACCCACACCTACCTGTGAGCCGCCGTTGGTGATTTCATAGACACTGAGTAGAGGTAAGCAAATACTCTGGATGACTCCAGCCCCTGCCACTGCTGAAGCACCCTGCAGGTCAAGAAATAATTGAAAATCGACTGTTAAGAATGGTCCTCCTTTCGTTAGTCTCCCCAAAACAGAAAACGTTTCTTTATCCTGTTGGTATTACAGTATGGTTTGGCAGCAGCTCGTTGTCTGACTGGAAGGCGTTACAGGGGGTGATCAGGTCAGCCCTGTCCATTTAGAGTACAGCTCCCCTCTACTGTGGACATTTTTACAACTCGCACCCGAAGAAGGCTTCACAGCCAAAACGTTGGGCTTCTTTTCTGCTCTTTTCAGCATGGAATAAACCTTTACTTATTCTCGCTGTCTCAGAAAGGCTGGAAGTATTGCTAAGGATACCAGGCGTCCTGGTTTCTCACGTTTCTCTCCCCTTCCCTCTGGTAAGTATTATAGGAGCATAAAGGCACAAACTTCCAGATTCAGAGACAGTTTCTTCCCACAAGCTGTCAGATTACCAAACTCTACCCCTACCTCTGGCTCACACTGAAGTTTTTTTTTAAATTGTATGTTATTTAACTTGTTGTTGTTGCTGCTGCTGTTCTGTGTTTATGTTTTTGGTGATTCCTTTAAAGTCTTTGTATCGGAGCTGATACATGCAAATAAGCACTTCATTGCACTTGTGCATATGAGAATAAACTGAACTGAACTTGTGCGTGTTGAAAGATTTAAAACCTCATTGCAAAAACTCAAACGTAAAAGTAAAAAAGCACTTAGCACTTCAAATCTCCCCATTGATAAGGCTGAAAGAAGTCTCTCCAGAGTACCATGACTACATCGGCGCTGTTACCTGCTGTGTTCGGGCCAGTATGAGCAGCAGGTGGAGGGCAGCTTCAGTGAAGTACAGGTTCTGTTTCACTCGCAGGCTCAGCTCCAGCGCACTGAGGATGGAGGGCAGCACAGGAATTTTGCGCATCACCTCCAGCCAGTGATCTCCACCCTCATCTACTTTACAGAGCTCCTTGGCTAGATGTAAAGCCAGCACACACACCTGAGAAAAAAAAATACCCAGCCAGTCTAAATACAGTCAAGGCATGAATATGAAATGCCAGTGCCAGGAGAGGTACAAAAAAGCACTGAATGTATAACTGTTTATAAGAATGATTATTTGACCACAAAAAATAAAATTATACAAATGAAATAGTTTTTTTCCCCTCTATTAACCAATGTTTAATATATATTGCATATGATATAGCTGTGAGACCAAAGAGAATAATTTAAATTATGTGGGATGCAGTGGCTTTTCTTGTAACAATAAATGAATAAGCTCTTTTAAAGCATGCAAGATCCAACGCAACAATCAACACATCTGAGCTAAAAATACCTGGGTAATACAGAGCATGTCACACATTACAGAAATAAATAGAACAATTTTAACATAACTTATTTCCTTTTAAAAACTATAAAAATACCAAGATCTTAAACTTTGGAGGTATTTGAATGAAAAACAGTGCTCACCCCATCCTTCTGGTCTTTGTGCAGAGCCCTGGGCACGGCATCCGTCTCCATGCTGTCCTTGTCGTCAGCGGTGCTGTCCCCGGTCAGGGCCATGTGCCTTGTGCTGTCCATCAGGGCCAGGGCCTCCTCCTGCATCGTCTCGCACACACACTGCAGGAGCTGGGGCAGCTGGGGCACCTGACTGCCTGCAATGCATGCGCACACAGCACCTTCAGAAAAGGACGGCTTTTCTTCACAAACCAGACAGGGAGCTCATTAGTTTAAGCAAGAGAGGAAGAACAAAGGCGGAAAACTAGAGCACTGACAGAAATCAGCCTGTCACAGCAAAAAACGATGCTTACCGTTGAGCTCCTGGATCTGCAGCACAGAAATGAGCGCAGAAAACACTTTTGCCTTGGTCCTCTCCATCAGCTGCCGGTCTGCCTGTAAGATGCTCTCTAATATCAACGCCAGTGGCGGAAGGATTGGAGGAGCCGATTCTATCACACTGAGAAGAGAATTACACACGTGTTAAACTCTTCCAATACATGGAATATTAACATTACAATCACACACACATTCTCTATATGCAATTATATCCTGTTTATGAGGTGTCACCATATCAATAGAACATCTTCAATTTCATTCACATGTATTTAGTATTGGAAAAAAAAAACCTTGATTTCCCAAATTGTATTTCCCAACAATAATGTTATAATAAAAGTATATTTGGCCATGTTTATTCAGAAATGCTACTGGGTTCAATGCTGATATAATAGTTGAACTTCAGTCCAGAAGGTAAGAGACTCCACATACCTCTTCCACTGTTTGAGCAGAATCAGTAGCAGTGTGGCGAGCATCGACCCCAAACGCAAGCAGGGAACAGATGTAGGAACTAACAACTGTAGAAACACCAGAAAATGCACACCACAGAAGTTTCACTCCAGTGTTTTAATGACAAAAATGACTTGATGTACAGTGCACTCAGAACAGTTTCGCTGATTCATGCACAGATATAGTTGTAATTATAGCCTATAAAAAAGTAAATTAAGTCAAAAACCACAAAGAAATAGCTTAACACTATTAGCAGACTTAATTGCATGACAGCTTTCCACTTTCTTTTACAAAAGACTATCTATGGTGAATGTTGAGTTTTGGTGCTACAAATATTCAGAGGTTTTTTTTTGCAAGATAACTTAATTATTTGCTTTAAACTAATTTTATACTTTTTCATTTTGTCTTATCACCTTATTCCCCATTACAAAATCGAAGGACTCTAGTTATAATTAATTCTGAGCCACTCTTGAATTCAGAATTAGGCAGCTGCTAATTTACAAAACACCAAGTATATGTGGGTAAACTTACAACGGCTTTGGTTCCATCCAAGACATCCATGAACAACTTCAGCCGAGTACTGTCCTCTGTTAACTGCATTACATCAGACTGCAGAAACAAAGCAAAACACATTTATTATTTATAATGATATTATTTTCATTTCTATTAATGAAACTGAGTAGCATCCAAACCAAGCAAAGGTCAGTTCATAGGACCATTTTGCATCGAAGATCACATTCGAAATTCAGGTTCTGATCTCACAAGCTAAATCTATTGCTTATATTTTTCAATTAATATTTTAATTCAAAAGCTCTGAAACTGACCACACTAATATGAAGTGTGATTTGGGACCATTAGAAAGGTTCCAGATGATGTCAGGTGTTTCAGTCCATGTAAGTCATTTGGTAGTGGTTGAGCGCTGCATAGTATGGCATAACTTCCTTGAAGGTGTAAGGAAATGAAAGGCTCTTACATGGCTGGTGGAAAGGATGAGCACCATCCTCCAGGCAGAAACTAACATTTGGCACTCAGTGAAAGATCGGATCCCATCCTCCTCCATTTCAGCCATGTGACACACCAGTGATTTCACATAATTAGACCAATACTCATATCGTTTATTACTGGACAGCTTCTTCAGCATATCTTTCAATGGCTGCTCCAGGGAGCCTCTGGGGAAAAAAATGCAACAAAATGGAACAGAAAGCAAAATTCCTGACAGGATTCTATACTGAGAATCAAAGAAACCTATCACCAATAACCTCATAACTGCAACAGATCACAAAGATATTATTAGTATTTTGCTTTCCTTTTTAATGCAGGTGCACTAACATCTTATTGAGCAGAGAGGACTTAGGTATATTCACGAATCTGTTTAACATTTGTCATCAGACCATGATGACTTCCCTGTGTATCCAAACTCCAGAGAGTGCACCTGGTGTACAGGTAAGGACAATATGTAATCTACAGTTCTGTGACAGAATGAAAATATGTGCACACTCTTTTTAGACCGATATCCCACAATATCTCAGGATATGACTGTTTTTTATTTTTTAACAATATTTTTTCCAGAATACTGATTAAGTAGCAAAATAAGGACATGTAGCATTAAAGACACAGTGTTACTGCAGAAAAAGTCTTACTAAATACTAACATCAAAACCTTTTCATATAAAACTTAAAGTGTAGAACATAGTTCATTCACTCGTTAATAATTCTTCAAACAAACTAGATAAAATTAAATGTGCTGAGGACGAATTCACAGAAAAGCAGACTGAGAACAAGCCCTTTTTTAAATCGTAAACGTTACCTGACGACATAGTAGATTTCCAGACAAATAATTTTCATAACCAAGGCACATGTTTCAAGGATACAAGGCTGGAAAAAAATGACAGAATATGAACTATATGTAAGAGCTGTCAACTGTTCTCTTTTCTGCAATAATTAAATCAAGTTTAATTAAATTTAATGTATATTAGAATTACAAGGATGACCAATTTTTATTGAAGGTAAAACAAAAAAATGAAACAGGTCAGGTTATCCGGATACGTTATATTCAATTTTCTGTTGAAATGTATAATTCCTAATGAGTCATATCAGTCATGTCAAGGGCTAAAACACATACAAAGAATATTTTATGCCAAAACATCACAGCAGGCTATTGATTTTAACTACACTGTTGAAAAGTCAAGCACAATGAATACAGCTTTTCTCATCTTTGGGAAGTTTGTTACCTCAGTCGTATCAGAGGGATTAGGTAGGGTTCCAAACAGAGGTGTTGTCAAATTCTCCCAAAACTTTTCCCTGAGGAAAAAAAAAAACAGCTTAGAAACACATAAAGGAGACTCCAATATTTGCTTTTAAAACACAGTGAGGGAAAACAAATTCTGATTTAGCATAAAAGAGTTTCATGCCCTAAAGCGTAATTGGCAGGGACTGCAGCAGGCAGGTGTGGGCGTTACTCACTTGGCCCTCAGCACAGACATGGCACTGTCTCTGCGGTCCTGCCACAGCGCATGGAGGAAGGCCAGGGCGGCGCGGTGCAGCAGGGGGGGGCACCAGTACTTGCCCTGCTGCTCCGAGTCGATCAGATCCAGCACCACCTGCAAGCAGCTCCACTCCCCCAGCAGAAACTCCTGCTCGGCGAAAGGAACCTTTCAGTGTGTGAAGAGAACTATAACCACATGCTGAAAATAAGCATCAGCCACAGTATCGCTATTACAAACTGCAGCTAAAATATCACTTAACTCTTCCTTTAAGTGGAATTTGCCGAAAACTCCTAAAAGGTGTTTCTGACAAATCACTATAATTCAAGAAACATTATGATCAATACATTACACTAATACATACATTAAGTTTTCAAAGGCTCAGATTTAAGGTGCTAGCGCTCTTGACTGTATCTGTACTTAAATATGAGCTTTCAGTAAAAGAATCTTTACACTGATCATTTGGAAGACAGCTAAGCTACACAGGCTGAGGTAATTCCTGCTTTGTTTTATGATTGAAGCATAATTTATAAGGAACTGAAAGGGCCAGCTGAAAGCAGGAAAATGAGAGATTCTATGTTTCCAGGACACTGACCCATTGCATGACAGGATACTGGCATTACCTTTGATCCTTCTGCTCCATTCTTCACTTCCAGGTTGAGGAAGAGCTCTATCAGACCTGGCTGTGTTTCCACAGCTACTGTCAGGAACTCAAGGATCATGACTTTGATCCTCATGTCCTCGGTCTTGCTCTGCAGGCGCGTCAAGAAGGTGTCCCGTATGGCGGCTGCATCACTGCCCAGACAGGCATACACGGACATGGGAGCCACCTGTGATAAGGGTACAGTTATTAACCACTCCATTAAATGCTTCCACGCTCCATTAAACCACTTCAAATGCTTAACCAAATGCCCAACATAGGCAAGGTTCTTTACCGTAGCCAATCTTTTCAGAAGCTGGATAGACAAACGAGGCAGTGCAGGATCATGTTTATGGTAGATATATTTAGCCAAAATCGCAATCAGATTATTCCCATGGCCACCTGCATCGGAAAATAAGATACATATTCAAGCTTTTTGCAGAAACAAATACATATTGTCATTCATTTAAAACCAAAACCTCACAAGAAAAATACCTTAACCACCTTATGTCGTGCATAAGTAGAATTTTTGTACTCTGAAGAACTACTGTACCCACTGATTTACACAGCAGAAAGGATCAAATTCAACATTCCTGTATACCTAATTTGTATGTTCAACACTGACATCAAATTTAGCACAAGTCGTGAAAGTTGCACAAAAGTGTATTTTAAAATGAAATCCAATTCAAAGTTAAAGAAGAGTAAATCACAGCAACTCAAATTATTTTATAGGAAACTGGAAAATTGTACTCACAGAATCTGTTAAAGCACTATATGAAACTACAAAAATGAAATGGATTTTAAGCATTTCAGGTATATACTGATAGTTTTATCAAGTCCCTTTTTGACAAAAATAAAGAGGAAAAAACATTTCTTGACAAGGGTTTGCTTTGTATTCATCTTTCTCCATCCAAATAGCTGGGTGTCAATGCCTCTGTACTGTCTAAAAGAAATGTTGCATATTACCATGCTGGGTTAGAGCCTGCTCCAAGGGGGAAACAACATCAGAGGGAGGTTTCAGGCGAATGACATTGTTGGTGACAGAAAAGGCCAGCTTCACAGTCTGAATCAGCATCTGGCCAGGGCCTTCTGAACTGCCACTGAAATGGAAACAAGCCTGATATACTCATGGTGTCAACTTCTTATTCCTATTTTGTCAGTCAAAAAATAATGATTCGATTGGAGATTCCACCTCCGTACCTGAATTGCGACTAAAAAACATCTCACACGTGTTCTGTAGTTTCACAGCAATGCTTAATGGGCTATTGCAATCATTTCAGCACAGAAACAAACTAATCTATATCAAAGAGCATGACTAGACAAAAGCATATTTCACAAGAGTGTCACAGAAGGATTCCCCATAATGGAACTTCAAAAATCTCAGCTAGGGGTGTATATTTATGATTCAATCTTAGCAAACCAGTTCAATGAAATTAAAATATCAGAAACTGTCAATTTAGTTAACCTAAAACCTAAGATTTCTCTATAAAAAAAAGACATATTTTGGTTAGAAGAAAGTAGAACAAACCTGCTAGGTTGAGCTGCCATGACCACATCAATGGTATCTACACCGATCCCCATGATACTGACAACAGCCTGCCCTGCTTCCGTATTAGCAAGGCTATATATGCACAGGGACTGCAGATTTGGGACACTTCCAAGAGAAAAAAAAAAAAAAATTAAAGAAAACGAAGAGTTCTAGCATATTTACCTGTAAAACACAGTGATTTGTTATAAACACCTACAATTTACACTGTAAAAAAAAAAAAGAGTTACCTTCCTTGGGATTCTCCTTCCGGGCTGAGATTTAGGATGGCATGAATCAGCTCTAAAATCAGGCAGCCTGCAAGAAGGATTCCGATGTTAGTCACGCAATGATTTCAACACTACTAAACACTAAACTTTAGTCCTTCCTATCGTTAGTACTCTATTCCCTTCTTGATTACTCAATTAAATGAATTAATGCATGCAAATACAATTTAGGCTATAGCTGCATGTCAAGCAACAAAACAAACCCCTAACTGCTGCTTAATCAATAATCAGAAAATGTAAATACGGACTTCTTCATAAGCTCATACATACCGATTCTCTCTCTCACACCATACGTGTTGTAACGCCACTTGTGGTAAGTAGGCAACATCTCCTTCAGAACTAGCAGCACGCAGGGAATAAGGCCTTTGTTTTGAGTACTGCCTAACTGCCCCTGAAGAACAAATAAAGTGGCTTCATTTTGATACAATCCTTGGTCAAAGTCACGAGTGTTCACAGTCATTTACTAGTTAACAACTAATTAAAATGAGTTATTTTTTTACAAATGCATGGAGTATATTAAGTGTGAGGGAACAACAGGAATACTTGCAATGGTAGTATACAACATGAAACACAAATTCATTGTCCGAATTTCCCATTATATTCTTCTCACTGAAGGTTTCTTTTTATCCACCGAGCCAGCTAGTCTTCTTACCTTGACCAGTGTGGTCACCAAGCGAAGAAAGGCGATGGTCACTGCATACTCCCCGTGGGGCTGCTCGATCAGAATGAGAAGGTTACCGTAGTTCCCAGCCTTCATGCCTTCCGCACTGGTGGGAGAAATGTATAGCTCACATGGTGGGAAAATCTTCAGTATTGAAATAATTGTGCCCTACTGTGATCGCTACTTTTTTTGTATGATTTAGTAACACTTACAATTTGGGTAAGAGTAAGATGAATCAAAAAGGATATTCCGGGATGTGTTCTTATAAGTACTACTGGTAGCACTTTCAAATACGGTTCAAAATGCAATTTAAAAATACTTCTCACAGTATATGTATTACCAGGGTGACATAAATGGGATATATTATTCCTAAAGTAGATTTACTGTATGTTTGTAACAAAATCCTGGCAATAGACTGTTCAATACCCTTAACACTAATCCTAGGACTGGGGGTATCTAACAAAGTTATGATAAAATATCATTATCAACATGTTAACAGACTGTTCATGAGATGCTAAAATGGATACCTATAGTTATCACAATAAGATTCTCAGTATTTGATAAAAGCATATTGAGTTGTTCTCTTCTTCAAGTTTAAGACTTGGCTTTCCCTTAGCGGATTGAGCAGAAGCAGATTTGCTTCCTATGCATTACCTGATGGACTGTGCCATTGTGCTCAAGGGGGTTGAGGCAAAAGGCAGAAAGCCCGTGTGATGCAAGGCAGACCAAACCTAAGTGATAAACAATAACACATACTTTCACACATTTCTGAAAAACAAAAAAGCACATAATATGCAAACTGTAAAAAGGTGTAGCAGGATGACATTCTCAGTACTGCTGAAAAGAACGATTTGAAAGCAGTTTGCTGTCATTTCACTTTTGCCAGTTCAGCAGTAGGCCAAAACCATAATAAACAATGGAGAACATTAATTTACCTTAGAAGGCATTCTTGTAGCAAGCACTGTCAAGCAATTCACACAGGAAGCAATTACATCTATAGGAGGGTTTATAACGGACGTCAGTCTGAAAAACAATAGAAACTGTTTTGAAATAATCAGAAGCGACCTGGCTTTAAGATCCCAGTTATCAAAGATATCATACTTACCTCTGAAGTAACATGTAAATACGGGATGTGATTGGAAGCAGGCAATCAGAAATCGACCAGTCTGTGCTGATAACTTTATGGACCAGGTCAAGGATTGGTTTGACCCTCTTACAGTGCTGGATGACATCTAAAGTCAAGAAAAATGTATTTGGAATTTCTGAGATCTAAGATCAACATTCTAAATCAAGTAATATCTGCTGAACAGTGACCCAGAAAAACAAATGGAAACCTGCTTGCATGTGTTCCCTTTGTTTAAGTAACACTGCCGACATGTTTTTTCATAGCAATTTGTTTACATCTTTCTCTGCCTACACCCGCTTACTGAATACAAGGACAGCTTTAATGGAGTTGATGTAAAATTAAGACTCATTACCACATTAGTTCTAAATACAGAAACATTAAATAGCATAATCAAAATACAGAAAATGCAAAACAAATTGATAAGGGAAGTGTCAAATATCCCCCCTTTTAACATCCTATTGAACCAATACTTTATAGAGGACCAAAAAAGCCTGTTTTACCTGCAGTGGAGACAACATGTAGCAGCATCTCGATCTCGCAGGTAAAGAGGGTCCACGAGCTGTAGGAATAGTCCCAACGCACCATGTAGCCCTCCTCCCCTGGTATCACCTGGCCCAGAGTGCCCTGAGGCATGCGCAGATTAGTCTGACCCAAGCCTGGTGATACAAATCATCATCACACTGAGTGAACAAAAGCTCTGTAATTCAATGGTTACATTAGGTACACATTATCGCTACTCCATATTTCAAGTCTAGTGCAAAAACACATCTTCCTTTAAACCCTAAAGCATCCAGCCTATCCCCAAAAGCTTACCTAGAGGATAGAGGAGTTTTGGAGTCTGTCTTCTCCACAGGGTCTCATCTTCCCGTGACAGAATATCATTTGGCTTGTGTTTATACACCTCTGTGTAAAAGGACATCTTGTCCAGAAAACTGTAAACCTAGTACAAAAAAAGAGGAAGCACTATATTATTTGATTTGCATTTGACAGGCATGGGATGGTGTTTAGAATCCCGCTATTCTAAAGTTTTAGACTGGCTTAAGAAGTAAAGATGCTCACTCAAAGCGTGAGCTCAATGTTATTGCCCACATCTCTGGGTCAAGCCCAGGAGATGCCACCAGGTAACTGTGATCAGATTTTAGATGGAAAAAAAGTCTGCTTTGAATGTAATAGAGATTCCTGGGACCTGCTGGGTGCTTGCAGTAATGCCAGAAAGAGATAATAAATACAGGATGTGATTGAATAAGAGTTAACTCTGCAGCAAGATATTGATCTTACAGCATATCAGAAAGGTGACTGGATCAGATAAGTGAGTATATCGGAGAAGCCTGTGCATCGGTCATTATTCCCATGTGGTACCAAGTAATTTCAAACTGATGAATGACTGTGAATTCTACAATTGGGAAAGTACAAAATAAAAAGAAAGATTTAAAAGAAAAGAACTCAAAAATATAAACCAATACAGCAAAGGAAAACAATGGAGTACAGCTTCTTCTTTAGATGCAAATAAAATACTTCCATTCTTTGTGAATACCAAAATATGAAGGCTGAGCCTGAAGACACAAATTGCCATGACAAAAGATGTTAGGCATTTCTAAAACTCTAAATGACTTCAACAGCTAAAGATACAGCTGCTCAGATTTTTAAAGCATATCCTGGACTGATGGCTCCTCACCTTCTTTGCAGTGGATTTGTCTGACAGCAAGGCAGTAAGAATTTGAAGAAGAGGGCTAATTTTCTGGGGGAACATCCCTACGGCACTGTCCAAGATCATTCCAAGACCCATGTTTGGCTTCTGTAAAAAAAAAGAACAAATTTATTCTCCTCTATAACAGAACATAAATACTATTTTTTTAAATATCTTGTCTACAATTAAACTAAATTAATTTCACTCTGCATCTTCCAACAGATGCCAAATTTTCAAATGAGCATTTTTTCAGTTATTCATTCAACTTACCGTTTCCCAGAAAAGTTCAGCGAGGCTTGGAGCAGCAAGGACTTCACAGGCAGCATCAATCAAATGCTGAAAGTAAATGACAGAAGGAAAAGCACTGGTCTTAAAAATCCACACACATAGAAATGTATAAAGTTATTATTGTTTGGGGTTTATTATCCCTACCTGCTGACTTCCAAGCGTTTCTTCCTCAAAAGATGTAATCACAAAGGAAATAAGCCCATAGATACACATCCGTGCTGTACTGGCAGTGCACTGCGGCAACGTGAAAGAGGAGGTACAGGGCAAAAAAACTGTCAATCACCATATTTCAGCTCAAAGTCTAAATCTCATAATAAGTCAGAACAAAAAACAAGTTACCTAAGAGTCTGTATTCATCTCAAAACACACAAGTTAAAAAATAATACCCAAAGGTGATCCAACACTATTAACAATGAACTATAAATTATTAAGCGTATTAAGTGTACAGCGACAAAAATAAATTAAATCAGTAAATTTAGCATTTTTAGGAGCAAAGCAAAACATGGTATGCAATATTACATGTGGATAACATAAGACATCTGTAGTATTGACTAAGAAACAGTAGTTCAGGTGGGTAGCTGCGTCAGCATGCGTAGGCTGCAAAGGAACAAGTAATAGGTTTATTCCATGCTGAAAAAAAGAAGAAAGAAAACAACGTTTTGGCCGTGGGGCCTTCTTACACCTCACGCTTCTTAAGCTCACACCTGAAGAAGGCCCCACGGCCGAAACGTTGCGTTTTCTTTTTTCCAAATGGAATAAACCTAAGATATGCTGTATATTTTGATTTTGTTTTTTGAGATTTAGATTGTAAATAAAAATGGCCACAGAAAATCATACCAATGCCCAAGTTCTAAATTACAAATTGACAATAATTTGAAAATGGACAAGTGCATTCTACATATTAGTGACGAAATCTGGAAGCTCAAGCCCAAGCGATTTTGCAGTCCAGGCTTACATTATTACCACTGCTGCCCAGGGCTCGGAGCATGTGGGTGAGGTACTGGAAGACGCCCAGCTGCAGGGAAGTGTTGCCTATCCTCCTGATCACAGGACTGGAGTCTTCAGGGCTGAGCGTGTGGCGGAGCAGCACCCACGCCAACAGCACTGGGGCATGATGGGAAATATCACCAAAGGTCAGGAAAATCTGGTCCATTTCCTAGGTCAGAAAACAACAGATTAATCAGGAAATCCTAAACTTCTGTGTAATACTATAAAGAACTGTAGTACGTTGCTGTAAATGTTTCAGAGCAAAAATGTGTTGGTGAATCCAAACTTCAAGAAAAGCCTAGCTTTACCTTGTTAAGTTCAGGAGTGTTTGAAAACTGGTGTTGTTCTGTCCTGTCCTCAATGGCACACTTGTGTAGAAAATCAATGTCCATTCCTTCCACCAGGATAAGAGAACTGAAGTACCTGCACAGGAAAACAGCTCGGTATTAAAATACCCAGTTATATGCGGAAAAACAGCTAAACAATTTTCAGCAGAGAAATCTGTATCACACAAATCATTACGATCATATGCAATTCAATAAAAACATGCTGAATTACTGCAAACCAAATAGTATAGTAAGCTTACCCAATACGATCCACCAGAGCATCCATATTCTTGTCCACTAGATGTCTGTTGGTCTGTCTGCGTCCAAATCCTTGCTCTTTGAATATCTTGGTGAATGCAAGAAGGTCATTGGGTGCCATTTCAAAGTAGGCATAGTACAGGAAAATAATCTCCAACAACAGAACCTGTTCCCTCAGACACTGCAGAAACCAACGGGAAACCTGCCTCTCTGTCTGCAAAATAACAACACAATTAATTAATTCATCAACATGGTGAGTGAAAGCAGGCTGACTGTATAAGAAAAGATTTGAGTGGGGAGCTTGTGTCAGTGTGTACAGGCTGCAAAGAAACAAGTAGAAGTTTTATTACATGCTGAAAAGTAGAAAGAAGAAACATGTATTGTCTGCTGAGTGTTCTTCTCTTGAAACTTTGTTTGTTCTTTCTACTTTCCAGCGTAGGAGTAAGCTCTACTTGTTCCTTTAGGAAAAGAAGATCTATAATGCATGTCACTGAACTAACAAAGGGTTGTAGCATGGGATTTTGGAACTGTGACATGGTGAGTTTGTATACAGCACAAATATTAATGCACCAAACCTACCATGAGATTGCCATGCGTTTCCCATGTCGGAGCCTCAGCTTTAAACAGGTCTTCAAACTGTTGTCTGTAGTTTGATACCAGGTCTTTCTCCAGCTTGTTCACACAGTTTGCATACTCACTCTACAACAAGTCCCAGAAAAACAAATCAAGAGATTTGTAGAGAGTAACTCAAAGGTACATCCAGGTGTCTTACAGAAAACGTGGCTGAGAGATAGAAATGCAATAACATTTAATGAAAACCTATACTTATTTCAAAATAGTCTTTTTTACCTTTTTATCAAAATGTACAAACATTATAAAATACTTCTTAGGAGCAATATATTTCCACATTCTATGAATTTCAAAGGTTTTTTCATCTCAACCAGTAAAATACATTCAGCTTTTGGCATTCAGGATTATCTTCACTGCTTCATTTCTGCTAAGAAACTAAGTCAATAACAGCTCTGCAAATGAGAGCATGGTGTGACATTATCCCTGATAGTCTTGATCTGCATACCCTGTATGGATGTCTCTCATCTTGAAAGTATGTCAGGAGCAGCAGGACACAGCGCAAAAGGCAGATCCTCTCCTCATAATAATAGTCAGCAATCTAAATAAACAGAAAAAGAAAAAGAAGCTGCAGTGGATACAATGAAATGTGCAAACATAAAAGGAGTAAACACCGGGACTTAAAAGGTTCAGAGAAAATAACTTGTATGATTACTGGATTAATTACACGATCATAGTCATGTTTTCGATTTTAAGTTTGATTGTAATTTTAACAAAGGCCTGTTCTTTTTTTCTATCTTAGAAGTTGTAATATATGCATGAATGAATTGTCCAAATACCCAATATACAACAAAATATGTACAGACTGTTACATTAGCTACCATCTCTGCTGCCAGAGACTCACAGACTCGGCAATTTTAAAACCTGCTCTTGCATCGGGACTCCTCTGTCTGGCCACACTTGCCTTTGTCTTCAAATGGCCTGGTTTGCACTGTGCATTGGGCATCTTCTGATTAACTTCGAGAAACTCATGTCCCGTGCAGATCTGGTCAAGCATTTGCACCCCTGTTACATCAACAGGGTCTGATCATCTGATCTGCAGTTTCACACTGGATTCCAGCTTACCTTTAACAGCAGTGCTTGGCTCTGCCGCTCATCTTGCAGGACAGACTAATGTAAGAAAGAGAAACAAACAGATCATGTGAAAAGGGAAAAGTACTTTCCAAAAACTATTCCGTTTCCAGGTTGGTGAATTTTTCTATTTCATTATTAAGGCACTGGAAATCCTTCTCTACCTTTAAGGCATCCCTGGTGCCTCTGTAGTCTTCCTGCAAGTAACACTGCAACACCTGGACACTCTGCTGTTCATCAAGGCCCTGGAATACAGTAAATATACCATGTTGACATGACAAATCTGTGGCAATTTATTATCTCAATGGCAAAACAAAATCTGATGTTGCACATTCTCCATATCACAGGCTGCAATAGTACAATTTCTAATTACTTTATTAATACAAGTAGTTAATTTAATCAATTGCAAGAACTTGAATATGCTTCAGCACCTCTTAAAGAATAACAGAGCATTTTAAAGCACACAATCTCATTTAAAAAAAACTCACAAAGGTTAAAGATTATTTTTCACAAAAATAAACGTAAAGAACGCATAGCCAATGTAGGCATGTGTAGGTCAGGCACTATAACATTCCAATTACATACCGTATTGTACTAATTGGATTAAAGAATATGTTTGACATAAAATTCTGCATAATAATATAAAATTCCATCCAAAGGTAATTTATATTTTACACTTACCTAAACAGGAGATGTAATCCATTCTCAAAGATTACATTTACAAATAAATCTCATAACACTCACCAATAATTTACTGATTCTGAGACCAAAGTCTTTCAGTGGCTGGGCAACTTCTTTATCTGACTTCAGTTTTTCTGCAGCCGATGAACTAGAAAAAGAGAGATGCAAATATCAGATAACTGAATTAACTGATTTTAGATGTTTTGATTCTACGCTCTGTTGTCTGAATAATAGCAAACATATCTGCTTTGATCTTAATCATATATTGTACATTTGAACTATGATGCTATATAAAAAGGTTTACCTTTACAAAATAAGTGTTTATCAACAGCATACCTAGGTGGTTTGTAGTAACATAATCCTGATAGCAACCGCTCCCAGTTTCTGTCAAGCTCTGCTTCAATCTGGGCCTATTATTGAAAGATAAAACACGAATGCAGATAATAATGACAAACACATACAGCTACGCCTGTGATTCCAACAACAGTTACAGTTAAGAAAATCTAAAATACTCTAGATTTAGCTTTAATGAAAACCAAAGAAGAATATTCAGGTATCTATGACTGACTTCTTTATACATTCTCCTTATCCTAATAATTACATTTTATTTAAAAAATCACCAGTCACAGACTGCTCCCTTTGTGTGGATAAGAATGTTGCAACATTTTTCTCAATGTTTATTCACAGCATTAACAGGTTTTCAAGAAAATTGCTAGGCGGCATAGCAAGTTTCCCTGATCTTCATACATGTTTTCGGAGATGTAAATGGGAGTCATATGAACAAATTATGTAACAATACCAAAACCAAGAAAAAAAAACAAAATTGCACTGCTGATAATCATTTTTTAATTAAAGGGTTGCATATTCATGCAAACAGAATACGGAAAAAAACGTTACCGGTTCCCTCAAAGCCGATCTTCCCAACAAGATCGTCCAAAGCTCTCTGCTGGTCCTACAAAAATAAACGCATTCATCCCTATAAAAGTGACGAAAATAATCATAAATGACATTCCACGCACTTATACTTAGAGATAAACGTGAACATTTAAAAGCTTACACATCTGCGGCATATTAACACTGTTACGTACATTTCACATCTCACTGGTACGTCTGGACGCTACACACGATTTTTAGGGTCAGAAATAAGGAAAAAAAATACTTTACTCCAAAGTTGAAAGTGTCAAAATCAGATTCAAGTTACTGTATGTTCAAACCTCCGCGTTCAACTGTTTTGACATTTCTCGGCAGTTCTGTGTTAATGGAAGTTACAACATTTTGACAGTATACGTTTGTTTTCTTTTAAATTGTCTTTATTAAAGGGATGCAGCGTAACGGATCGTCCTTCGCATGAATTTTAGGAACCAATAGCCTACATTCATTCAAAGAACTAGGCACGTTTTCAATCTAGTTTTTAAGCAATTACTTCTGTTATAACATTGGCAATAAACCTAGATAATAGGACCACCGTACTATATAGTCTCAACAAGTTTTTTCTATACTGTTAATTGTTCTTGATCCGAACATTATTAGAGTATCTCGGAACATGGTACTTGTTATATACATATTTCCTGCCAATGAGAATAAGAAGCAATGTTAACTGCCTTCTAAAAAATTTCACTAACATGCGGCAGAAAACAGCACACATTTTTCCCTCCACATTGTAATAGCCATCCCATTAATAAAAGTAAGAACTAAAAGGAAAACGTCCAAACGTCTAAATAACTATTCATTCATTTCATTTTATCCTTCCTCATTACATTTCCCATTCAGACATGATCAGTTTTGTACAATGCCATACATTAAAAGAACACTTTTGCTTTTCTTTCAAGTACCTGACACACATCTCCGAGTCCGCCATATTCCCCCCTACACGTGACACCTCCTCCGGTCGAACACCCTGGTCATGTGACGGGTACCCCGGGTTGGAAAGAATAAAAAAAACACTTCCGAAGCCGGCAACTGAGATGCGATCACTGTCTTGAACATAAACCATGTGTAGGAAGCAGAAAATAAAATCCGCCCTATTCATGTGATCAAGCTGTCAACATGGCCGCCTCCTAGATGTTAAAGACTAAAAAAAAAATTTATACGATCGAATGAAAGTACGCACAAAACGTGTTATGATCGCGGTGGACATGTGAAGTAAGTTAATTAACACATTTTATGATATCTGGGTAGTGTTATCAGTTGGCTTTTGCAAATTCATGGGGATGTTGCTTGCATGTCAGATATCTTGTACCTTGCACCCAGTTCCGTTATGTTGTAATTTCATACAATCGATTGGCTACCAACCAGTCTTGTTAAACCACAAAAGGCCTCAGTTAAAGCGGACTCGAATGCATTTACCGTGGAGCTCTTAAATATCCATGCGTTTCTCGTGTTTTCAATTTTGAGTTTTTTTTAATTTTGTAGCTTTTAACTATGGATAGGAAATTACGCACCTGCAGCCGAAAAACGCTGTCTGAAATACATTGTTTTATACAATAGCCGTTTAACAATGTCAATACTAGTCTACTTCAGTGGAGTGGTTTTATGAAAAAGCACAGCGTTAAGGTAAGCTGACTGTCAAATTGTTACATGTTTCACAAGCTTTGTTAGGAACAGAGTGGTGTTTGAAACAAAGAGCATTAATGTTTTAAAGAGAGGAGGCCATCCTGCTGATCTAAGTCGCTTGGGTGATACCGATACAGTACTAAGCTAAGTGATCCAAGGATTTCGTCGGGCTGCGTCTTGAAAGACGACATTACACGACCATAAAAGAACGTTTTTATTCTCTTCTAACCGGATACTCCGCGGATGTGTGATGACGAAGAGTTTTATTAAATGTTTTATTACGTGGGGAGTAAAAGCACGTTTCCATGATTTGCTTACTTTTATTACGACAGAATTGTAGTATTTTGCCCTGACCGTTGGCATTTCTAATTGGTGACGTCTCTCGTGTCCGTGAGGGTACATCGGCTTGCAAATACGCTATAGAAAAAGTGACAGAATTATAGAGTTAAATCATTCCACCGACCGAGACTAACACTGTAATATATATATATATCGATAGGTGGCGTAAGAATGAAGAATGGAAAAATGTGAAGCATTACATCAAGGAAGTGGCCTGCCCTGGATGCAAGAAAATACCGATAAATAGCAGTTTTGAGAAGCACCCCTGAAGCTGCAGGATCTGCAACCATGCTGACGAATCCTGTGTTCGTGGAGTCAGTTATTGTTTTCACTATTGTTTTGTGTGTCCATTTTGTGGTTTGGAATCAGCTGTCATGGTGTTCCATTGCCTTGGCCATTCAAGCCTTCTATGTCCAGTACAAATGGGACCGCCTCCTGAAATCTGGCGGGGCTGTGTTTCAGTTCAGACCCTCTGCAAACAGTGGCATCCTGCCCGCTTGCATGATCATGCCTCTACTTGGCCTGGCCCTGAAAGAGCGCTGCCAAGCCTCCGGAAATGTGTACTTTGAGCGCTTTTCAATGGTGGTCACCGCGACAGGGATGATGCTGGCTCTGTTTCTCTCCCTGATTGCCCTCGGCATCACCAGGCCTGTGCCGACCAACACCTGTGTCATTTCTGGCATTGCTGGTAGCGCCGTGATCTACACGATCAAGCAAACCCTAACGGTCTCTGAAGTCATTGAAGTGCTGGAGGTGCTTCTGATCTTCGTCTACCTCAGCCTGATCATTCTGTACCTCCTGCCTCGCTGCTTCACTCCTGGTGAGGGCCTCATCATCATCGGTGGTATTAGCTTCATCATCAACCAGCTCATTAAGCGCTCCCTGAATGCCCCTGAATCCAAAGGGGATCCCATCAACTACTTCCTGCTAGTGATCGTGGTTGGATGTCTCTTGCTGGGGATCTTCTTCACCCTGCTCTTCTGCTTCATGGAGTCGGAGACCTGGGTGTCCTCCCTGTTTTTCCACATGATGACGGCAGTTCTTGGCTTGGGGATTATCATGCCATGGCTTGCCCTCCTGATCCGAAGGCACCCCTTAATGTGGCTGATCGACTTCCTCCTCCTGAGTCAGAACAGACTCTGCCTGCTGGCCTACTGGGTCCTGCTGGCAGTGCTGGCGTCTCTGGTGGTGTTCCACCAGAACTACAAGAGGTCTTTGGGGTCCAAGAAGCACCAGGCCTCTACAGTCGTGAGGAAGTACTTCCATTTCATTGTGGTGGCCACGTACGTGCCTGGGCTGATTTACGACCGTCAGCTTCTGCACGTCGCCTCCGTCACCTGCTTGGCCGCCTTCCTTCTCCTGGAGTACGTCCGCTACTTTCGGATCAGACCCGTCGGGCACCTCCTCCGGCAACTGCTATCTCTGTTCCTGGATGAGCGAGACTCCGGGCCCCTCATCCTCACCCACATCTACCTTCTCCTCGGGATGTCCCTTCCCATATGGCTGTACCCTGGACCCTGCATGCCTAAAGGAAGCCTCCCAGGAGTGGGGGGACTGGTGCCCTATGCTGGTGTGCTGGCCGTCGGTGTTGGGGACACTATGGCATCTGTGTTCGGCAGCACCATGGGAGAGGTCCGGTGGCCCGGGACCAAGAAGACCATGGAAGGCACAGCCACTTCGATCTTCGCCCAGATTATTGCTATTGCTCTTTTCCTCATTTTTGATGAGGCAATTAACTTGAACACCAGCTATGCTTGGATAGTAGGATCAGTCACACTGGTTTCTTTACTAGAGGCCTACACAGCCCAGATAGACAACCTCCTACTACCCCTTTACCTTTTTATACTGCTCATGCTATGAAGGTAAAAGAACATTAAAAGCCCTTTCATTTTTTTAATGCTTGTACTGTATCTCCTTACAGTACTGAACAGAAAGTCATATTGAAAATATTCCAACAGTTCAGGGGTTTGAGGAGTTTGAATCAAATTGCATTTCTACATTTACTGCTATTTTTTTGAAGGCAAAGCAGCTTTAGCTTTGGAATGAGAAGAATACTGCACTCTAAGGCTAGCTGTACTTGAAAGCACTTTGGTTAATCAACACTGGCCACTTCAACACTACAGCAAGAGTAAGATATTTAAGGCAGATTAATCACAATTCAGTATAGTTATGGGTGGTCATAGCAACATAAGAAGTAAAAAAAATGCTATTTAGTGTCTCTGTGGCAGTGTTAGTTTTTCTATTGTTTGGGTAGAATTTAGGAATTGTATTTTGTCAAAATAGCGCTGATAGTACTTTAGCAGTTTTGTTCCTGAGTGAGTATTAAAAGGGGAGGCTCAATATACTTACTGTAATATATCCCTTTGCAGTTCCAGCTAGCGCACGAGTCCCAAAAGTATTTCATAATATTTTTTTCAGATGGTGCACAGCAAAGAGAAGTCAAAATACTGTTTTTCATTTTGTAATATGTAGTTTAGAATCAGTTTACATCTGACAACAATTACACCACCTAGTGATTATGGAAGTAAATTGTGAATGGTGATGATGCCTTTTCCTTAATCAAATGTACATTTTTCTCACCCTAAAGCTTAAGCTTTATTGAGGAATTTTTTACTTGAATTTCTCCGTTCCATGTTTCCTCAGCTTTTAACATGATTGCAGCAGATATTTGTCAAACCACTATTTTTTTTTCAGAATGTAAATTTGTCTTTCTCATTTCTGTGGAAGTACTAGAAATATTAAGACTTGGATGTGAAAAAGCATTGTGAATACTATATCATTACGGGCACCGAATTTAGCTAGAGAAAAATGTAATAATTGAAAGTATAGATATGTGATCTATTTAGTTTTTATTAGACATTTTATATGACTGAACAAGTACTAAAAATAACAATTTCAGTGGTGGAACCTTCTTCAGGTTTTTATATAAAGGTTTTTAGGTTCTTCTGCATAACCTAATATAAGCTACAGATTTAAAACCTTGAAAATAGACCTCAGTTCTGTATTTGTATTTCCTCTTATAGCTGTCAAGGAATTCCCTTGACTACAGTTAAGTTTGGCCACCAATCATACGAGTAAACACGACTGCCTTAAATATGTCTTCTCTAAGACCAGCATGTAGTAAACTATCTTTTGCCTCTACTTTGGCTTGTAAGTGAGTTGCCATGCTCTGCATACTCACTAGATGGCAATATGCTACATCACTAAGCCAGTCTTCTCAAAGTACTGTAAAATATATCTATTATTTAAACAACATTTAAAAAGTCACTTGTGCATTATGTAACACTGTCATACAGAGGGAGGACACATAGTTTAGTTTCTAATTAGGAAAATTCTAGCTAGCTAAGATTCTACAACCTTTTTTCTGTTATATTCACTGAAGATTTATCTACATATCCTTAATGTTAATTGCTCTTGCAACACACTAGTTATGTCTACAAAAATAAATAGTATCCCAGGTTGCCCTTATTTTACTTTTCAATGATCCATTTTTTATTTAAAAAAACACCAGATTTGAAACTGCGCTTAGAGTCCTGGTCCTTTCTTCATCACAATAGACTGAATTGTATTCAGATGCTGCATTTCTTGTACTGTATGTCAGAAGAAGCAGAGTTAAAAACTCTCAGTTTCAGGGACAAAAAAAAAAACTATCCTGTAGGTATTTAATTATTTCGCAGCAAGGTATTGAAAATGGCAGATCATCCTGCAAGACTTTAAAACCCAGCTACTGAAAGGGTTGTGACCGTCGAGGACAAACACAACTCCTGTAGTCAGTTGTAAGTTTCAATCATTAGAGCAGCTCACAGCTGTTGCCCTAAATGTAACAGATTGTGTGTTATGCAACAGCAGGAGAGGAGAGGTATTACCGAAACACACATGCTTCATAAAAGGGGCTATAAAAATAGTTTTGGCTGGACTCCCTGTTAAATCGCAGTGTGGTGCAGCAATTTATCAGAACACTCCAGCAGCTAAGTAAGCTCTTTGTTTCATTTTGTGTTTTCATTCGTCTGGGGAAACCTTGTTCATTTTCTAATTAAGATGATTGTGATGCCACACAGGTGCATGTCATAGCCTGGTGGTACTGTGAGGCTACATTGTTTTTGGAGAGGCCAACACATTTCTGCCAGTGGCTTTCTATATTGTTTTAATTTGGGCCAACTTTTTATTTGGGCCAACTTCTGATGTGGTACGCATTTCATAAAGGCAACCAAGAAAAGTGTTTTAGATATGTTTATAGTTGTTATGAGCAAGGCTTGTAAAATAACATGTTGCTGTTAGTAGTCAATGTAAGTATGCAATGACTGGTGTTGAAAATGTGCCCTGGTATGGACATGGGCTGTGGCCCAGAGAAAGAGGTGTTTCAGTGAAGATGGTGTAATAAAAGTACAGTAACAGTACAATGGGAGACAGCCGGACAATGGTTCAGAACTATTTAAGAGGAGAAACTGGACATCTGTGAGGATGGGCAATATATTTCTAATGGCCTTATATTCTATAATCTCTAGGTATGACTTGGAATGCATGCAGAAGATATAGCTTAGACAGAAGCTTGCAATTTTCTAACCCCATGTGGAAAAGGAGTCTTTAGAGAGCCATGTAGTATTACGTTAAACCTATGGCATGGCACAACTGTGAAACATTTAATTTTATAGTGTCATAGAATAGTGAAAACCACACCCTTCTTGACATGTAAAATTATTTCAAATGCAGCTGCCTTAATATATATGCTAATCAGCTACTTGTTCCATCATGTCATTAGCTACTCCAAATGCAGCATGCAGATTGTATGGTATATACTGAGCAAGCTTTGCAATTTTTAACTGCCTGGAATGCTTAACAGGGAGAGTTTCTGTAGAAGACATGTTGTTCAGACATGGGATCAAGCAGTAATTTTTAGATTCTTTAAAACGCATGAGTAATAGCGCTCCACATACACAACATACAGAGTTACCATAGGAAGAACATCCTATCTGAGGCAAGTGTGTGCTTCTCTCCTTCTTCTGTCCTGTATTCAGTTCTCTCTTCTTTTCGTACTGAACAGGGCTACAGTCATAAGATGGTCACTGATTTCATTATTCTCTCCCATATTCGTATTATATTTCTTGAGGTTATTTGAAATGGAATCAAGATGTATTATCTAGATATGCTTTCAAAAGTTAGAATAGTTTACTCCATAGAAAATGCATTTTTCTGCCGATTAAAGTTCCCTACCAGATAAACCCAAACTTTCTTGTCAAGAGCGACATGAAATCACAGTCTCTGAAGTGTATTTAAATGTGCATGAAAGATGTGCAGTGCAAATTTGATTAATTTGGTGTTCTTGTTTTTTTGTGTGTGTTTTTTTTTTTCCTGGCTTGCTTTTTTAATATATGAAGAAATGTTCAGCAACAGCTTTGAAATCGTCTCTGTTTTGCTTTGAAAGACCAGTGCTGAGAATTGTATGGCTGTTTGGCTCTCATGTTGAAATGTCAGTCTGGATTTAGTGGCGGAAATCAAGTTGCATATTTTGGTGACCATGAGATCGGCAACAAAATAGACAGTGCTGACTTGTCTTTGGTAGCATGGCAATGAGTTTGGGAGAGCAGGATTAAGCTAATGTTCATATGCCTACCTAAATAATTTGCAGAAAAAGCAATTGGCAGCCCCATAATCAGGCTGCATGTTCATTTCTAATTTAGTGAAGGTAGAAATAAGGCTTCATTAACTTAACAAAGAAGCTGTTAAGGGTTGCAAATCACACTTTGGAAATAACATTTCTTTACTGGTAGATATTTCTGCATTGTGAAGCTTTACCACTCTATTCATGAGCACCAATTCCACAAGATTAGAATGTTTGGTGCTAATCTTTCTTTCCTGGTTTGGATCTTCTCCTGTTTGTTCGATGCACTAAGTGTGGCACAGACCTACATACGTACATGACTTTCGAAGAGAGTCACTGAATTAAAAATGCACACTCTTGTGAAGGTCCTTTGTTTCCTCCTCCTTCTTGATATGGACCGGCTTTGAACTTGCGTTACAGGCCCTAGGAAGAGTAGTCAGGGGGGAACGAAGATCAGCTGAATTTCACACAAAAAAGGGAACTCGTTCGACCTGAAAACAAAACGTCCCCAAGATGTTGCAACCTTGACAAGTAATTGCACTATGACATTTAAAGCCATATCTATCCACTAATAGGTTGCTGCACTATTATTCAGGGTTGCTTATAATGTTGACTTACTGTATACTGTACATACACTTCTCATATCTCCCCTTAACCTACAACCTGGTTTCTAACATGAAATCCAACCTGCCATACCAAGAATAAGGAGGCTAAACAGACACTAAATTTAACCTGTAGCCTCCTAGTTGACCTGTATCATGCTTGCCTACCTTTGCACATGAAGGACCAGAACAATGTTATGACTATGTTTTAATCATGTATATAAAAGATGTTAACATCTCTTCTGAATGGAATAATGTGGATTTATATCATGTATGTTTTCTTCTTTCTCACAAGAAAGTGTACAGTTTACAGGGATCTGTGATAAATAAACCACAGGATTTGTACAATCAAAACAAATGTGTGTATTATTTGTTCCTTCTTTAGCCTATAGAAATGTAAAAAAAACTATCAGGTTTTTCGTAGAATGAAATCTGAGAGAGAATAACTCTTCGAAAAACTTCAGACAAAAAGTTTAAACCTTGTAATTTGCTTTTCGTAAATTAATCTGCCAAACGAGCTTTTGTTTTAATTTTGCTGGCGTGATTTTTTTGTAAAGCGTGAAAAGGAAAGTTCAAGCCTAAAAAAGTAGTAGTCCAAATATTCAGAACACACGGTCAGATGAAAAGAGAGACTACAGTGGCACAAGCGACATGAGACAGACTTCCACCACGTTTAGAAATATCGCCATCCCCTGGAGAGCTGATGGAATCGGTGGACATCGTGGATTAATCCCACATGCACTGCTCTCGTCACCATCTCAGGTCAGATAGAATCTGTGCCTCGTCCCACTCAGGGTGTTCTTACAGCTAACAGAGGCCCAGTACAGTGGGTGACCGGTGAGTGTGAGAACATATGCAGTACCACAGGAAAAACTTCGATTTAGTGTGGAAAGTGTATTCCTGCGACTGTACAAATAATAATAATAATAATAATAATAATTGCTTACACTTATATAGCGCTTTTCTGGACACTCCACTCAAAGTGCTTTACAGGTAATGGGGACTCCCCTCCACCACCACTAATGTGCAGCATCAACCTGGATGATGCAACGGCAGCCATAGTGTGCCAAAACGCTCACCACACATCAGCTATCAGTGGGGAGGAGAGCAGAGTAATGTAGCCAATTCATAGAGTGCCTGCCTGAAATAAAACGAAATGGTGACGAACCACGCCTACTGGGTAAAGAAGGGAGAGCTTTCCAGTTGTGATGTAATAAATAAGCACAGTTTTTTTTCCCCCCTGATGCTTCCTCTGGTAATGGGAATGACCAAAAAGTATTTCGTTCTTCTGGTGGATGAGAAAAGGCGATGAACTCGGGGTTGACTATAATCTCATAGCCAGCTGTTCAAACAATTTCAGGCCACTGGCCAAAATCTGAAATTCACCAATATTTGTTTTTTTATTAACACTTTGATGACTACTCAGTAAATGGTATTGCACATTTCACGGTTACAGCCATAGGAAAACACTTGTTGGCAGGAATTACTAGAATTACAAAAAAACAGATTGTCAAGAAAGAAAGAAACTTTGATTTCATTGCTGGCTCTTGTATTATATCTGTGAAGACATAACTGTTTGGTCTTTACTTCAATCCAACAGCCTGTTGATGTTACATAAACATCTTAATTTTAATCTTACTACCACTGAGTTTACTTGGAAAGCAAAGTCACGTTGAGGCACAGATCCACATACTATGTTTCTGAATTATGGTACTGTAGGTGCAGCTGAAATTGCTTACAGTATAAACTTCACTGAAAGACCGGGGTCATCAAGGGTCTCAAAACTTTCCAAGTTAGGATGAGCATGTCAGTCTTCAGGGAACACAGCTCTGTGTATACAGTGATGGGAAGGGTAGCTCTGGTGTAGGCTGTAACCTGGAAAAACAGCATGGAAAATGGTCTTTTTTCCATTTCAGACAGTGTACTTTCCTGCCTGCCTGCTACCAGGATTGCCTTATAGTTTTCATGAATAAAACTTATTAATATGGTAAAATAATATAATATTTATAGCTAAAAAGCAGTGTAGTCCTCAGATACATAGCACATTGTAGCAAAGCTTTCACTTAGCCATGATCTCAAATTTACAGCTGACATTTGTCTTGTTTGAGCAACACAGTCTACTAGTCCACTTGAGTTAGCAAATACTGAAAAGGAAAACGAGACTGAAATGGAAACATTCTGCATTTTAACCCTGCGCTGCAAATCTCCAGCATTTACAGACCCCTTCTGTCCTCACCAGTTCTCGGGATTCCAGCTCGTGCCCTCGGACTCCATGATGTGAAAGGCGTAGACGTGGCGAGACCGGTCCGACGTGTTCTGTGCGCTGCGGTGCACCACCTCCCCATGGATAAGGACCAGCCCACCTTTACAAACACACCCCCGCCGAAGCTCAGTCCACCACTAGGCCACTTCCAAACCCTAGACAGCCTTCGAACACTTCTTCGAAAATCAAGTCCATCAATCTTCCTTTTCTGAGTTTCTTTCCTTAATGATTATTAACATGACTGTACACACTACTGATTTTTCTTCAATGTGAAATTATCACCTCTCTATTGACATGTACATGCAAGCTTCACTATCGATGAGCCACTAAAAATTAAAAACCTGCACAAACTCTTCAGTCTGAAAAACCTCCTATCCTTTTTAACATACTGATGACATATTTTGAAATATCAAGGAAGCCTAACTGTTGACTGCACAAAGCATAACTAGTATGTTTGGAAGAGGAAGTTCCACAGAGGTGTCTTGCAGTCTAGTACCTGAACCACAGTCTGTGTTTACCTTTCTTCACTGGAGCGGGGACAAACTGGTCCTCGTCGTAGGTTCTCTCTCTGCCAATGAAATCTGTTAAAGGGAAGGTGCCCTTCGGAGTGCGGACCATTCGTCTTGTGATCCCGTCTGGGGGTGCAAAGTTTAAAGCTATATAAACTAAAACAATAGCACCGCCATTGCTTCCTACTGTCAATATACAAACGAGCATTCCAATGCTACTGGCAATCTGTGGGAAAATGGCAAATGAGGCACTGAAAATGCAAATAAAGCAACAAAAATAAAGGTACAGCAAACTTAAATAAAGCCCACACAGACTACAGACATCTAATTTGGCCATGGGTATGAACTGCAAAGTAGCTGTTCTCTCTAAAAGCTCCATAGATTCCTACTATAGCTTGCCTTCTTACTCAAGCAGCACTGAAGCAATTTATTTTTCAAGCACATGTTTTCAAACAGAATGGTAAGTATTCAGACAAAACACAAGGGCCTAGAAGACATGGACAAGAAACAACAGCATGTGGAGGTCACTAAGGAGGTCACATGTTGAAATCTGGGGTTTTAACCAGAAATGGAATGATAAAAACACAGAACTGAAACAATTATTCAAGGAACAAATGCAAATAAAATTAACTCATTTACATTTTGGAACTGGATATTCAATATTTCATTAATCTGTAAATATAGTTATTTTCTTCTTCATTTTCATTAACAATACAGCAGAGGTGAGGGAAAGCAGAGGGGAAATTCTGGTATTAATCCATATTTTCATTAGTTTGACCCACAATAGTAGGAGACAAGACGTTAGGAAGTTTTGGAACCGAATTTGAAAAATGCTGTCATTTGAAACCAAACTAAATTGAAAACAAAATCTGGTTTACATCTTTGGCTTGAATACCCATTTCCAGTGTCTTTTAATGCACGCCTGGGCTTAACATGGGACAGTATAAGGTTGTGGAGGGTGTCCGTGTGCCTTACTTCTGTGAGAACCAGGAATGAACCACAGACAGCCATTCTCCGGCGTAGCGTCTTCAAGAGGGATCCAGAGGCCTATCACTCTGCCTAGGGGCTCTGTGTGCAGGAAGGTGGCATCCTGGTGTGGCATCACTGTGGGCACCCACATGGAAAACACCAACAGTGGGCTTGGTGCTCTTGTTTAATCCTCCCCATTAAATCATAGCAGACCAAAGTACTTTTTCAAAGTCCTGCACTACTCCAGTGCTTTCCTGTTTGGTGAACGAGCTGTATAATTCAAGACCTCTGGAGCACTGTATTATAAAATAATCACATACAGTACCATTCCATTTCCTCATTAGTACGGAAGTCCTGTTTGCTTTGCCACTTTCTGGAAATCCTAGTATGCAGGTTCTTGCCTCTGACAAGGTTGGGTACTGGCTGGATACTCTGACAACTTTATAATGTTTATAGAGCAGGCGCAAGCATCCCGAGTTTCTCAGAAACACAGCACTCCTTCATGTAGGCAATATCAATGCACCTTCTCTCCTGCCTTGCCACTTCTGCATTTCAAACCTCTATGCTAGAGAATGTGGAGAAGCAAACCAGCTGAACAAAATATCAGTACTAATAAGCAAATCAAATGATTAGTGTTACTACTGAAAGATTTATGTAAAGAAGCCCAGTAACCCTTCAAAACAAACTCAGATTATCAAGCTATCTTTTGACATGTTGTTGAAACTCCTCTTAGACATTTTATCGGGATTCTGAATTTTAAAGACTTAAAAGGTAAAAAGTTGTATTTACAAATGTACTTGAATCCGTTCAGCAAAGTATTTCCAGCTCCCCACCGATAAACTACCCTACTTCACCTCTGTCAATTATCACAGAGGAGCAAGGCAGTAGTTGAAGGATCAATCCTGTTTGCTTAATATGATAATCTCATTAAAACCCACAACTACAAACAAGTCTTCCACCTCAGCTCTAATAATAAGTACCTAATTAAACTAATATTTTGCTTAATTAGGCATCACATCCGTTCCCCCAGGTCTTAATAACGTCTGAAAAACAGACTTCAAGGAGGTTTATACCTCCTACAATATATCTGTAACCTGTAACTCTTACACCTACCAGAAGCTGCATCCTAAACAATTAATTCAGTACTGCATTTCAGGGTATCTACACAGAATCACTTCTTACCTTCGCCACCAATCCCAGGTTGCTGAAAAGCAAAAGCAAAATGTATGTGAAAAAAGAATAAGGAGTTAGTTTTCTCTGTTAATGCTGACTTACCTACAGTATTAAACCTATTAATGGTGCAGAATAATTGTAAGTTTCATTTTTATTGTTTCTAGTACCCAAGGGATACAGCAGAAATAATCTTGAAGACTGTGGTTTCAGATTTTTTTTCATGGTATTTCATGGCAAAGACAACTGGATACTCTATAAGTGGCTCGTTTTAATTTTAATTATGATTCCTACGGTCTTGAAAGAAGACTGAATGGTCATGGTGCTTGCTGAAGGTAGCTGGCAGACTGGAGCAATGATTTCCAGAGTGCACCATGACCATAGCATGTTTTCTTTCTCTAAAGGGGCATTTTTCTGCCTTGGAACTATAGGTTTATTCCATGCTGAAAAAAAGAAGAAAGAAAACAAAATGTTTCGTCCAGAAACCAGAACCAGGCATTTTTCTGCCTTGGTGTTTTGAATTTTCTTGTCTCTGCTAGATACCAAGTTGTGTAAGGGCATTAATTCTATCCTTTGTCAAAACAGATGATAGCACCTGTCAGGAAAATCATTAAAACACATATATTTAATGACTATATTATATTAAATATATACATGAATACCTGTGTACTGTACCTTAAAAATATACATGCTTTGCAGGACTACTGGACATTTCAAGTCAAGCTTCTTGGCCAAATTCTGGAAACAACAGAGAAATGAGACTGATTAGCCTCACCATTAAAGAGTCTGCTGTAGTTAACATGTTGTGGGGACTAACACTCAAGAGAGCTAAAGTAATGTTTCATACAGTAGCTGCAAACTACAGTATATACATTATACAAACCTAGAGTTTCTTAAAACTAAAACTCATTCTTGACCATTGTTGTACATGCATAAAAGGAGTAAACAATCTGAAATATAATTTGTTGCTCTCTTTTCTCTATCTTACCTGAACCATTGGAGAATATGTGACATTTTTATAAAGTGGCTCATAAGCATGTAGTGCTGTAAAAATAAAAAAGAAGAAATTTAGACTGAGACAGTTTGAAAGGTTGTATGGAGTTCATTATCACCAGCTCATCACACAAAAAGTATACAAACAAACATTCAAACCTGATTAAATTATGCACAAGCCAAACATTTCTTAAATCAAGACTTTCAAATTCCAGTCTTAATATGTTTAATCACTAGAATAGAGTGGTATAGAGACTAATAAACAAACATCAGGAAAGAATACACAAATGAATTTAAAAGTATGTGTATCAAAAGAAATGTGTTTTAAGTACAAAATTGTATTCTAATAAGAATTCATACATCTTCCCATTTTCACGATGCTGCTAATCGTTGCAGTAACCCATAGTCTGTACCAAAAGCCTTGGGAATAAGGCAGGACTACAGCTCATTACAGCAGACAAACACAATTTAGAGACACCATTGAACCTAGTCAGCATGTCTTTAAAAGATGGGAGGAAAGCACCTAGAAAAAATCCACACAACCAGAGAGAACATGCAAACCCGAACAGAGAACTCTATTGTTTGGAATCGAATCCAGAACTATGAGGAAGCAGAGTGAATTGTCACGCCACCATGCTAACCAATAATTAAGAAATTTAATTTTAAAATCACAAGGGCTTTCTACAAATTCGAAGTTTGCTATATCTGCTCTGTCACATGAAAAGCCATGTTCAGGCTTTTTCAGTGAAAAAAAGATTCAGAGCACACAATTCACAGGTCTGCAGTCTTTGTTTTTTTTAACCTAAACGCCAGATTGTCTTTCAATATTTCAGATGTGAGACATTAAGAAAACAAATAAGAGAATTGCTGACCACATTTACTAGAACAAGAGTTTCTGGTAACAAATCAGTCATTTCAAACTCCCTGTAATGGTGAGTCCTGAGCAATTCTATCTTTTGCAAGAGCTCGGTTAGCAGTCCCAATGCCCCAGAAAGGCAAAGAACTCCCAATTGATCCACTGTACAAAAGTCACACACTTCCAATAGAGTAAGTTAAAGAATAACAGCAGAGAGAGACAATTTCTTCTGCGTGTCCCACTGATTCGCACATTAAAATCTTACCATGTCCAATTTTATTCAGAGAATGCTGCTTTGGCACAATGAAGTCTCCTAGATAGGAAAAATATACAGAACTTTAAAAAACTGCTTTTAATCTAATACAAAACATATAGGCATTCGTTTCACCCCGTGTAAATTAAATGGCAGAAAATGTTTTTTTTCTCCTTTTATAAAACCTTAAAATAAATGCACTAATCACCACATTTTCCAAATAGTTAAGATATAATTTAACAAACACTTTTTTAGCAAATACTATACTTTATGAGGGGTATGATAGCATAGTGGGTAAGACTCTGGATTCAGAACTGCTGTGGGGGTTCGGGTTCAGGGTTCAGGTCTCCCATCTAGAGGGGGAGTCCTGTGCTCTCCATTCATTTAATATTGGTTCCAATAATGTAAACTACAGCCTGGTCAGTTGCTGTGGTATACCGTTTTTCTTTTTAACTGTATCTTAGCAACACTTTAATACCCAGCAATTCCATTGTTTTTTTCAATTTTGGTTATAAAGGCATACAAACCTTAAAAAAGCATTAAAAAAGCTAATTCCAAAGCTGGAAATCTACATTATGAGTATTTGGTCACTTTACATACATTTCTTATTTCATTATAAAGGGGGTGTGGCTCAAGTGGTAAGCTATATGGTATTAAACATCTTTAAAATGTACCTTTTGAGTTAAAAACCCCTGTCTCAAAGAAGAAATGGATCTTGTCTCCACTTGTCAAGAAATACTCAGCATTCCCCTTAGGAAAAAGAAATCAAGTGGAACCAATTCTCAGGAAACGTTTCAAGTCATAGGTCTTTTGCCACAATGAAGAACATTTAAAACTGAATACAAAACAGTTAATGCCTTGAATAATATTAATCAAGAGAGAAAAGGAGTTCAGAGCAGGAATCTTACCTGCATCTTTAAAACAGAAAGAAGGAAGCATGCAAAGTGAAACATATTGTATATTTATATAAGGTTCCACCTGGCAAAAACAGAATTCAGAAAATATTCATCAGTTCACCCACAACAGAGGCTTGGAATGCAGCAGCACGTTTAACAGCAGTGAAGTAAGAGAAGCTGTAGTCCTTTCATTTTAGGATTGAAGTATATACACGCTGTATGATGCCTTGCCCCTAGAATGCACACTGTGGGTTAAGTGTTTAAATGAAATATATACAGAATTCGGAATTTATATATAGCTATTTTGCATTCAGAATTTGCCAATAACCTTATTTAAAAAAAAAACATAAAAACACAGTCAAAAGTAAGACTGCAAATCCCTGGGTTGTGCTGTGAGCCTCAAACCATTTTTTTGTACATTACGACAGACTTCACAGCTGCACAGGATCTTGATCCATCTCTGGATGTTCATAGTACACTATCAGATGGGCAGAATGTTCTGAGGAGGTTACTTGAAAAAAGGTCAATCTATTGAATCTTCTCTAATGTTTAGAGTACTCAGCAACTATCCTATCCCATTTTATCCTATATATGGCGCCGACGATATCTACTCCTATAGATAAAGAAGCAGTAAATGACAAACCTGACAGGTGGTCGTCATATCATACCTGCGATTTCAACTGCTCGTCGTGGTCAGTGGAGAACTGGACTCTGCAGTGCGGGGGCACATCCATGCTGTCCACAATCTCCGCCATCCTCTTTCGCAGCGCATCGCACTCCTCTGGGCTGAGAAACCCCTCTAAAACCAGGTAGCCATCCTCTCGGAACTGTCACAAACCGGGGTAAAGTTAGCTTGAAGTTCGAAAACGATTTTGGCACGCCTGTAGCGCTTTCACGAAACCTCTTAGAGTTGCGAGAATACTTCCTTTGTGTATAAAATACATTGTGAATGCTTTCTCAGCCTTTACTTTGCCGTTTTTATGACATTTTTTTGACCAAGCACGAATATTCTTTTGTCCATATCTCCGCAATGGAAGCACAGAACGCCTTCAAACCAAATGCACTTTAAAGACCACGACTTGTGGATATTTCCACAGCCTTTACAACAAACTATCAGTGAGCTAATTATCTTTTTTTAAACCTCCGGTTTTTCATCGATGCGTAATTACGCACGAACTGGAACCCGGGGGACCGCTGTGAGCACACGTTCACAACGCGAGAAATACTGTTCAATACAGCTTCATGCGAAAAACCCGTATATGACCATAGGAAGCAGAACAGCGCAGTCTCCAATTACCCAGACTGTAAGCACGGGAATAAAGCTTTGTTTGATTTCTGAAACCCTTCCTTTACATCCTGTTCTCATTCAGGTAAGGGTCAACTATATTCACAATACTACTGACAGCAGGAAGATTAAAATATTCTTTTCTCAGCGGCTTATTAAAAACAGCTCCCATGATGTTCAAACCGACTTTTTACACAGAACACTGACACAGCTTTGTGTTCTGAATCTCTTTTTCTCATTCTTTTATTTAATGTGGCACAATGCACTGGGATGGGGGTATTCTGTTCACAGACCAATAGCATTTAAACCACAGCACCCACAATGCTGCAAGTGTTTTGCACACTAAGCAGATCCTCTGACTTTTCCCAGCTTTGTTTTGGGTTGTGGAACCTTTCTTTATATTTTTTAGGATTTTCTGAAGATAACACCACAGGTAATACACTGGGATAGGTGGGTCTTCTTCATGGCTCAATAGCAATTCAAATACAACAGCCACACTGCTGAAACCAAGTGTTTTACACACCAGACAGGCCCCCTGACCTCATACAACCTTGCTGTGGCTGTGGCCCCTTTCTTTATTTTTTATGATTTTTTCAATGTGGCACCATTAGACAGGCGGTACATGGGGATTGGGGGTGCTATTCATGAGTCAATAGCTCTTCAAGCACAACAGCCACAGTGCTGCAACCAGGTGTTTTAGACCAGACATTTCCCCTAACCTTATACAACCTCGCTTTGAGTTGTGGAACATTTCTTTATTTTTTAATGATTTTTTGACTGTAATCAAGTGTTGTGCTCACTAGGCAGGCCTCCTGACCTTTCACAGTCATGCTTTGTTGTGTGAAACTTTAATTATCTTTTTAGGATTTTTTGAACATGGCAACTTCCACCGAGATGGGTGTGGGATGTGGGGGTGCTCTTCAATAGCTTTTTCATCTATACAAACAAACGGATGTAACCAAGACACTCAGAACCTGTCACGCAGGGGCTGACTGCTGAGGATAGGGATCCAATGCAGTGCCCTTGGTAGGGTTGG